CTTTGGGAGATTAGCCAGCAGAATATGCAACAGCCAATCCCCCTTTTTCATGCTGGCTGAAGATGGGTTTCAATAGGCAAGGGATAACATGGGACATCCCTTGATTCATGGGATTTGACCACGTGAGGGAATCTTGACTGCTCCTTGAATTATGGGATGTGACCACACGTCGTTCAGAGATATCCTGCTGTTCACCTACAACAGGAGCGGTCTTTCGAGGAGCCATGTTTTACATCACGTCACTTAGGAATGGGAAAGCCCCTCCTCGTATGCGTGACAACGGCTGTCAGATGCTTGCGTGGATCTGACCAACCACCGAGCGTTGGCGGCTCTCGTCCCTTCACCTGGACAACTGAGGTGAGCCGCATTTATGAGGGTGCAGGCTGTTTCGGCGCCTGTCCGCTCATTCGTACTGTGGACGGCCATCTGACGGGCCTGGAGTATTGTGCCCTCTCCCTTGATTTGTGGGATTTGACCACTGATGTAACTGTTCCCATACTCCAAGTGGGCAGTTGACAGTGAGCTGGCGAGTCTGCAGCTTGGGTCTGCAGGCGAGCTTAGGACTGCAGGCAGACTTGGGTCTGCAGGCGAGCTTGCAGGCGAACTGGGTCTGCAGGTGAGTTTGGGACTGCAGGCGGACTTGGGTCTGCAGGCGAGCTAGCAGGCGAACTGGGTTTGCAGGCGAGCTCAGGTGCGCAGGCAGACTTGGGTCTGCAGGCGGATTTGGGACTGCAGGCGAATTTGAGTTGCAGGCGAGCTCCTGAGCATGGATTGAAGAATAGGCCGTAACTTTCAAACCGTAAGTCGGAATTGGACGAATTATATATGAAAATCGCCTATCTCGACGAGATGGAGCCATCCGAACCAGGCCGAAGGCTTCGGTTCGCTTCCTCCGTTTTGCCAAATTCCTTACGGTTTGGGAGATATCTGCGTTTTCCCCTTTTTCGCTATTTCGGGTGAGGAATCATGATATATGGAAATTTATTTTGATAAATACAGTTAAATGGTATGGTATGTGAGTAGTATACCATGTGTTTTTAGTATAAACAAGTTCATTCGTGAGGAAGAGAAGAGTCGAAACATGCACAACGGTCAAAAATCGTGAGAACTGGAATTGCCCAGTCCGATCGACCGCCACGGTCGACCGCGAGACCTGCAGAAAGTTTTCTCCTGTTTTGAGTTGGTTTCGGATTTCCAAAGCCCATATTCGTTATCCCTGGTTTGTATATCAAACTTTCACGAATTTTCTCAGTTTTCTAAGAACCATAACAGCCACCAAACCTCCACAAACCCTAATTTGATTCTTGGAGAATATTGGAGGTTTTCAAGTGGATTTTTCGGCTGATTTTGGCTTTTGGATTGGAGGTTTGCTTTTGCTTGGCATCCTAAAACGTTTTTCTATAAGTTTCAGGTGAGTTCATCTCTGCTAATCCCCCTCCTAGTTTTAAAAATATTTTTGAAGAATTTTTAATATGTTTCATATAGCCAAATTGACTAGTTTATGAATAAAAGTTAATTTTTTTATATTATATGTATAAAGACTAGGTCATTTCATGTTAAAAAGTTTGAGAACGAACTTACAGAAGTTTTCAAGATCTGAGAATGATTTAAAACATTGTTTAAAGTGAAGAAAAAGGTTTTGTTCTTCGTTTTGAGTTTTTATGCATGATTTATGGTTTTGAATAACAATTTACTACAAATAATCATGTTACATATGTGAGTTGTTTCCAGAAGATTTTATTTGCTGTAGACCTATTTTTCTCGCAAGTTTCATGTTGATATATATGTGGTTGCACCATACAAACACGTCACGAATACAATATATGATCACATCTTTAGAACTTGGAAATTTCGGCTCACGGTCGATTGCGCCCTAGCGACGGTCGACCGCGTGCAGGACAGAGGCCTGGATAGGCCTTGGAACCCGTCGCGGTCGACTGCCGCATATTCGCGGTCGACCGCCAAGCTGCATTTTGGAATGTGCATGTTTTCTTCGTTGTTTTGCTTTTCGAGTGAGTCTCTCGACTTTGCACTGTTATGATACAATGTTTATGAGTTGTTTAACATCTAAAATATCAGTAAACACAAGATATAGATACGTACACCAAGATATGTACATGTATGTTTAAAATATGATGTGTTAACATGATAAATAAGAAAAATACACAAATATTATGTTTTCGGAATAGGAAGATGAAACATATTTCCGCAGGATGATTGAGTAAGAGTATTACAAAAGTATCGTCATATTATATTTCCGGAATAGGGAGATAAAACCTATTTTCGTAGGGCAATTGAGTAAGAGTATTATAAAAAATATCGTCATCTTATATTTCCGGGATGGGGAGATAAAATCTATTACCGCAGAGCGATTGAGTAAGAATATTACAACAGTATCACTAATGTATAAGAGATGCACATTTGTAAGTAATACAAATTATAAATTGGTTTTTATTTTTGAATACCCGCGAGTAGGGGGCTTTCTCTGAGACCGTGACTTACACAACATGGTATTTGGTTGGCTTTTGTTTGGATGAGTTCCTTTTATGTTAGATCCATCTATCCGAGTGTAGATCAAGATGTGATATTTATTCTACAGGTTTGAGGTTTGGAGTATTATCTATTTGTTTGTTGTTGTTCATTCATAGAGTTTGGAATTAGTATTTAGGGAGTCATAATTTGAGACATAGTATATACATGAGGGTTTTCTTATTTGGATTATTTTGCTCGACGTACTAACTCTCGTGTTGTGGATTCCTAAATACTAGTCTCCAGTTAGATTTATATGAATGATTCATTACTTATGTATTCTCTATATTTTCTATTCACTCCTACCCTTTCCTCTGGGGAGGTGGAGATGTTCTCGCTATAGCGCTTTGATGCTCGTTATTTTCTCCCCTTTTAGGCAGCGAGTCCAGCGCACGGAGAGTCGCAGGTTGATGAGATTTCTGTATAGATCTCACCTAGCTATTTATTATGTAGTAGTTAGTCAGAACTCCACAGTTAGTTGATTATGTTCAGACTTTAGACTTGTATTTTATTTTGTAGAGGCTGAGAGTCATAGTGATACTTTATTTGACTATTTATATTTGAGGTTCATTTCAGATTCAGAGATACTTCTATTCTATTTTTGTTGGGCTCATTGATGACTATTCTCTTATTTGCATCTGTTGTTCTATTTTCTTTTATTTGTCTATCGGTACATTCACCTATTTGTTGTTTCCACTAGAGAGATAGTTACTGTGATGGTGAAACATATCGTTGCATGGTGTTTGGTGCTTGACAGGTTTGACAATTCGGGTTTCGCCTTGGACTGCAGCCTCGCGTGAAACCTGGGGCGTCACAACCACCTCGCCCAATCACTTTGATCATTAAGGGGCTGGGGTGGTTTATGGATCTTTTCTGAAGGAGTCATATTAACAGCAATGTTGTGT